TGGGCCTAATGACAAAAGTTAGTTTTTGCTCTGCAAACAAGATCTAAAGTTTTAAAAAACTTCGGATTCTGGCAGCTTTATAAAATTTCTTTATTATGAAAGAAATTTGAACTTACGATTTTTTTTTAAATACGTAGACGCACTACTCTCTCTAACTATGCACTAATACAAAGGCCTTTAAAGCTACCTGAAGCTGCGACCTGGAGAGAAGATCTTTGACCGAATCGAGCCGATTGAGGATACGAAAGGCAACAGCGGCACCAAAGGCAGGATGGTGGTGACCAACTTGAGGATCATCTGGCATTCCTTGTCATCGCCGAGGATTAATCTTTGTAAGAGTCTCCCCATTCTTGGTTTATCAAAACATGATCATTTCTTGAACATTGAATTTCATGCTTTTTGTCATGACCGATTACCATTTAGTGGGAATACTCATTAGATATAACCCAAAGCAAGAACAACTTAGGAAATGCGTCATCTGTGGTCGTGATCCTACAACACAAGAAACCTGAAAGTACAACGGAAGGTCTTGTCTTGTCCAATAAGCATTTAAGCAAAATGATTTTGCATGTTAGTAGGTAGCTACCAGAGGAGAACTAATTAATTACCAACCCTTAATACTACTAGTAGAACTATCAGTCCGCAAGCAAGTAGCAACGCAAATCTAATTTTTTGGCAGTAGCTAAGTATCTTCATTATGATCGGGACTATTCCCACCTGTCGTTCCCATCACTGCAACTCCTGTATAGCCAGGATCTACAGGTCGACCGCCATAAAAACCCAACCAATAAAGGTCAAGTTCATCCCGGGGAAAAGTTAAACTGTCATTGGACCCGCAACGAAATTAGTCAGAAGAACAAGAAGAGTTCGAAATTAAGGTTCGACTTCCCTCCATCTTCATTCTGATACCAATAATACTTTTCTGCGTTAACTGTTTCAGCTATCGGCCTAAACTGCATGATATCAACCAGCACCAAAGTGGTGAACTCTGGCCTGAGAGGCACCACGCAAGCACTGTACGTCTTGGCTGCGTACAAGTCCAACAGATACGAGTTCATCTTCACCAACCTCTCTCCGAACTGCGTCAGACATTACACGTCTGTCGTGGGGGTCCATAAGTAAGTATGTTTTTACTATTGTGAGGTGTTTGACTCAAAGTTAACCAGATGTTAAAAGCCTAGAAGCCTATTCAGTCTTGCTTCAAAAAGGCATCCAGATAAAAAATTTTGATGTATACATCAGCAGGGTAGGCAAATAATTTGAGAATGCCATTAGTAATTGGCATCATTTGTACTACTACTTCTACTGTCAGTATGAATAATTCTTCCACCTGTATAATTTATTGGTATTATTGCAGAGCATACGCTGCTTCAAGAATGTATCGGGATCTGAAACTTAGAGGAGCCATCATACACAGTAAACAACTGAGAATGCTGCCTCAGGAAAAGGTAAGTAATTAGTGGTATATTAAATCCACATCTTTTCATCCTCATCACCACTATCATCAGCTCGTCTAAGATTTCTTCTGGACATAGGTTTCCCCAAAAACTCGATATTTAACTATCTATTCTTCTCAAATCTATTTCAAATTAGTAGGTAGCTTGTATTCATCTACATCTTGAGTCTCATCAGAACTCCATCCAAAAACTAGTAGATTGCATTCATCCTCGCTTCTAATGTGACCAGACTAGCCCACATCCACTTCATTTCAGTTCACACGCTTATCCCTTGTTCTAGATAACCTTTTTCATTGCCACTGTTTTTAGATCTGCCTCAACGAGCACAGCATCTGGAACCTGTCGAGTGACTCCGGCAACCTGGGCACGCTGCTGGTCACCAACGTGCGCGTCGTCTGGTACGCAGAGGTCAACGACGCCTTCAACGTCTCCATGCCTTACATCACTATTGAGAGTGTACGTTTGTGTTTAAATCTAGCAGCAGCTTTTTACCCGACTACGGCAAAGCAAAAAGGAGGGTTATGATTTTGACAGGCTATGTATAGGTATGTATGTATGTTCATGTGTTCCCTCGTAACTTCTAAACCACTTATCAGAATTCGACAAGTGACATATCATTAGAAGCGTCTTAATTGTCCGCTGGTTATAGGCTATATGGGGTTTCACAAAATCTAATGTGGCTCCCTCTAGCGGACAAAACATACAGAGTAAAAAAATAAAGTTAAGATAAATATGCCGTGTTTGGTATCATTTGAAAGCGCTTTACTTGTAGATTTTGAATATATATATATATATTACTAGCATTTGCTTGTGACTTTACCTGTATTCATGGGCTGATTGCATATAATTCACATCTTTTCGTTCGTAGCTTCTTTACTACTAGTTTTATTAGTTCATCAATTTAACTTTTGTTAATATTATGCGCCACAAATACACTTTATCACCAAAATAGTACATAATAAAAAGTAAAAAAACTAAAACCCAACTACGACAAAAAACGACGCTGAAAAAGTATAAAACAAGATTTTCAGAACACTAAACTGAACAAAGTTGCTAATGTAGTTGCATAGTAATTTTCATGTTTGGAAAGGTGTAAGTAGTCACACGTTACATATACCTACCTACCGTAGCACTTTGACAACGTGTGACTGCGGTTTTCCAAACATGAAAATTACTATGCAACTACATTAGCAACTTTGTTCAGTTTAGGTTCTGAAAAATCTTGTTTTATACTTTTTCAGCGTCGTTTTTTGTCGTAGTTGGGTTTTAGTTTTTAAAGATAGAATATACTTTTGTAGATTCGGAATCGGCTTATAAAATAAAAGCTAAGCGCATTCTAATGCCATTTCCAACAGATTCATGTACGAGTTTTGAAGAAATGATAAAGACTTGTTTGCGCTTCTGATTCAGGCTTTAGAGTCAGAAACTTTTAACTGACGGGACGATTACCACTTCTCATTCCCACCGCTACAACTCCTGTCTAAAATCAGGATCTACAGCAGCTTGATAGCCAATAAAAACCTGACCAATGTAGATACTAAGTTGAAGTCTACTTTTAAAATCTTGATTTATCTTTTTAGATCTCCATCCGCGACTCCAAATTCGGCGAAGCCCTCGTGTTTGTCGTGCGTCCCACGTCTGGAGGTTACGTGCTGGGCTTCAGATGTGACCCTAAGGAGAGGCTGAGACCCCTGCTGACGGAGCTGCAAGCTTTGCACCAGGCGTACACTGAAAGACCCATCTTTGGCTTGGAAATGACTTGGGGCAATGAGGTCAGTGTTAAAACTTTAGGCAATAAGCATATTCTTTTTGAGACGACCTACTTCAATTGCTAATCCTGGCTGTTACTTTTTTACAGACATCGAAACCAACTACTGACGACATCGAAGAGCTGGAAGAAATAGGGGAACCTAGAGGAGAAATGGGCCCAAATCTGTATTTAGCCTCTCAACTGTCACAGAATAAAGGAGAAGCTGAAGTACAGCCGGTGTATAGCCCTTACTTGGGATTAGCAATTGAACCCTTGAAAGAAGGGTTCACGTTGAAGAGTTTATTTGAAGTTCAAACAACATCCTAAAATGTAGATGTTTTGTTAATAAATAGATTTTATAAATCTAAATACTGATTTATTTAACCCCGTCCTTTTAGGCTATACGTAATTTATTTAGCATCTTTTCAAAAGCTAGATGCATTGTGTTGTGAGTAGAGATGGGTAGTGGGTTAAAACCCATTTCACCCGATTGGGTTAAAACTGGGTGATTTGGGTAAAAACCCGGTTTTTACCCATTATCACCCATTCTGGTGGGTGAAAACAAAAATAGCGTTTTTTAAAGTGAGAAGTGGTATTTGTTGCTAAGGGGGCGTTCTAGTGTTACGTAATGCAATCTGGGGGGAGAGGAGGGCTTGAAAAACGTTACAATGGGTTACAGGGGCGGAAGGGCGGTTCGATTTCAAGTTTTTAAGCAGAAGTACTTTGTAGTTGGTGTTGTTTTTTTTAACTTTATACCGTAATGTCATCAAAGAGAGAGTTTGGCATCTTTGGCATCCCCCCCTCCATGTCCTTGCCATGATCACAAATTATTGTGTTCCTACTAAATTTCTTCTAAATCGGTTCAACGATTCTTGAAATAACACCATTTTATAAAATAATTGGTCACATCATCATAACGTGATCAATTTTACGATTTGGCCACGATATAAATGCATATTAGTGTTAAAGGAGTTGTCCCAAAATGTATGGAGCCTAGGCCCACAACCTGTACACCTACCAAAAAGAAGGGCTTTTAAATGTACAACAGTTTCTTATCATTCAATTTCTTTTAAATAGCTTAGTTTATTCGCTTAAAACAAAAGATTGTTAAGAAAATAGCAATACTCAACCACAAAAACCATCATGGTGGACGAATGTCATTTTGATGACATCTGTCACTTTTGACATTAAGTCGTATCTTGGTGGAGAGTGACAGATGAAATCTGACAGCGAGAGTCTATGGTTCATCTTTTTTTTTATCTGACGCCATACGCCATCTTGTGTATGCATTTGAGAATGATAATTCATGAATAGTTTTTGATTTTGAGCGGCTAAATTATATGCTAGATATAGTTATTTATATTTTTCCCTTAATCAGTAGATTTTTCTTGATTTTTGATATGGCGTACAACCTCCGGGCCGAAATTGGGACAACTCCTTTGACTTATTACTTATTAATCAATAAACTTAAATGAGAAAAATTCAATAAAAATAAAGAAAAGATACCAATTGAAATAATTATAAAATTATTTGTTTTCACCCGGTGTAAACACCCACGGGTGGAATGAAACGGGTTTTTATTGGGTTTTTACCCGGGTGGAAACCCATCTCTAGTTGTGAGACCACCGAATATTAAACTCCTAGCAGGATATAGTCGTGGCTAAAAACTAAAGTTTCATGTCCATAACTATAGCTCATAAAAAAGTTAAACAGACAAGTTCAAACCTGTCACCTGTCAAACAAAAAAAGCAAACAGCTGTTTATTTATGTTTGCATGTTTATTTTCGAAGTTTCTCATATGTTTTTTGAGAATTTTATTAATAATCATAGTCCCTGAGACAGTATTTGATGTTTATTATGTTTTAAAACCATACCAAGGTCATAAACCGTGGGTAACCTAAATGAGAAGTGTTTTTCGTTGCTTGTTTTTGACTTACCTAATTACTAGGTAAAAAAGCTATTTATTGACTAACTAGAAGCGTCTATCCCTCAAGGTAATCAAGAATATTGGCTAATATACGTATTAACCTTCATTTTATGTTTTAAATAAGTGTACAATGTAGTGGTTGATGGTTCTGTTTTTGTAATTTTATTTTTGAATTTTGTGTTGTTTTAGTGGTAGTGGTATTTTATATAGACAGGAAAATGAATAAAGAAAATAATAGGAGTGCAGCTGGTCTGGTAAGTAACCTATTTCTATAATTTCTATCATATTTACTCATTTAAGCATCCTTCAACTAGAACCTAAATAGTGTGATTTTTCAGGAACATTTTATGTTGTCCGCTTCTTGTTGTCAATAATATCGTCCCAATATCATTAACATTCCATGTCTGTAGTAAATCAAGATATTATGTCTGTAGTTAGCTTTGTAACTCAAATGAACATTTATTAATTGCTGCTGTTTTTGTAATAAGCTATATTCGTCAACTTAACTACAACTTATTGGCTACTTTGGATATCATGAACTATTTGATGCTGACTGTACTGTTAATATGTAATAATTTTATCTATCTAATATGTAAATTAATAACACATGCAATATAATTATAATAGGAAATCCATCTACTACTGATACTCTTCATACAAATCAGCTGTTAATCTTAGCCAATATTTCTAATTTCAGCGACGCTCAGCCATTGCTGAAAGAATCCGTCTGCGAGAAGAATGGTCAGAACTGAAGGGAAAACCGGACCCGCTCAGTCCAAGCAACCGACTGCCAGGGAGACCCGTGACAAAGAAGAAACCAACGATTGCGAAACGAAATAATGTCTTCAAAAAACCAGTCGTAACTAATTCTAATACAAAGAACAATCTAGCAAGAGATGTCTTGACTGCAAAAGTAAGTGCTAATCCTTCTTTCAGCTTAAGTAAAAATAAGTCAGGTAAAAATAAAATACAATGTCAGTGTTGGACCTTATAGTTCCCCTGTAGTACAAAGGTTACAAACCTACCGTTTGGTAGACTATTATGGTGAATCTACTCCTCACACAAGCATGTAATTAAGTTAGCTGGAGGGGTTAAAGGATTTGTTAAATTGTCACACTGGATGCGGTTAGCAGTCAGGTCAAAGTAAACACATTCCGCATTGTGTATGATTCCCCTTGCCCAACACAAATCCTACTAGTCCTACTTTCTGCTAATTCTACTATCCTACTAATATTACAAAGGCGAAAGTTTGGATGTCATGTTTTTTGGATGTTTGTTACCTAGTATTCTTTCACGTAAAAACTACGCTGATTTTGTTGAAACTTTACAGTATTATTGTTTATAACCCAGATTAACATAATATAGGCTTTAATTTATGACGTTATTTGACAAATAAATTTCAATAAATAAATAAGACGTGCCTAAAAAGCGCCATCTTTTACCCAAGTGGGGCCACAAACAAGAGATACAGATTAATTGAATCAAACTGTAAAAAATGTGGAATATTAAGCTATAATAATAAAAAGCGCCATCTATCAACATGATATCTAACGGGGGTAAAACGAGGTCCACGCGTACGAAGTCGCGGGCTGCCGCTAGTTAATAATATTATCTTTTCTATTTAAATTGATTAGTGGTTAACGACCCCATAGCCAGCGACAGGGAAAGGTGGAAAAAAAAGATGGAGGAGGCTTTCACCCAAGTGGGGCCACAAACAAGAGATATAGATTAATTGAATCAAACTGTAAAATTGTGGAATAAAAAGCTATAATAATAATAATAAATAATAATAACGACCCCATTAAAAAAACCTTTTCAGGTGGCCCAAAGCGTTGCGATGTCAAGCGAAGTGCTGGTAGGCGTGGTAGCGCTGGTGGAAGTGGGGGCGGAGTCCCGCGCTCTGGCGCTGCGGGCGGCGCTCACTGCACTAGGGGCTTCGGTCGTGCCCGCTTGGAGCCCTATCGTCACGCATCTGGTCTGGGCTCATGGTGAGATTGTTAGAAACATAAGAAAAAAAAGTGGTATATCCGTTAAGCTAGCACCCATAAGGCTGGTTTTAGAATCGCGCTGACCGCTCGCTGATCGTCGGCGCTGACAAATCAAAATGTATGTAATTGCAGGGAACGTTTCTGAGTGACAAGTAGAACTTGGACACACAGGAGTTGTAGCGGTAAGAACTAGAGTCCTATCGTCACGCATCTGGTTTGGGCTCAAGGTCAGATTGTTAGGTTAGGCACAAAGCATGCAAATGTCAAGTAAAGTCACCATGCTGGGCCTTCGCTCGTGCATTCTTGGAGCCCTATCGTCACGCATCTGGTTTGGGCTCAAGGTGAGATAAAATTAGGCACAAAGTGTCACGCGACGCATCTGGTTTTTGTAGGTGAGATGGTTAGGCTAGGCACAAAGCATGCAAATGTCAAGTAAAGTCACCATGCTGGGCCTTCGCTCGTGCATTCTTGGAGCCCTATCGTCACGCATCTGGTTTGGGCTCAAGGTGAGATTGTTAGAAACATAAGAAAAAAAAGTAGTATATCTGTTAAGCTAGCACCCATAACACAAGCATATTAGTTGCTTATTTTGGGGCTAGATGGCTTTCACCAGTTGGATTTTCATTGGTGACCGGCAAGCTGTAGATCTTGGACACACAGGAGTTGTAGCAGTGAGAAATAGTCTAATCGCCACTCATCTTGTTTGGGCTCAAGGTGAGATTGTAAAATTAGGCGCAGTGTGCAGATGTCAAAGGAAGTTAAAGTCACCACGCTGGGGCTTCGCTCGTGCATTCTTGGAGCCCTATCGTCACGCATCTTGTTTGGGCTCAAGGTGAGATTGTTAGGGACATAAGAAAAAAAAGTAGTATATCCGTTAAGCTAGCACCCATACGGCTGGTTTTAGAATCGCGCTGACCGCTCGCTGATCGTCGGCGCTGACAAATCAAAATGTATGTAATTGCAGGGAACGTTTCTGAGTGACAAGTAGAACTTGGACACACAGGAGTTGTAGCAGTGAAAACTAGAGCCCTATCGTCACGCATCTGGTTTGGGCTCAAGGTATGATTGTAAAATTACGCACAAAGCATGCAGATGTCAAATGAAGTCAAAGTCACCGAGTTGGGGCTTCGCTCGTGCATTCTTGGAGCCCTATCGTCACGCATCTGGTTTGGGCTCAAGATAAGGTTGTTAGGAAGATTAGTAGTTTTCATTTAATTATTGGATCGATAATCACAAGTGTCTGAATTAAACTTGGCTTTCACCCGTTGGGTTTTTCATTAGTGACCGCCAAGCTGTAGATCACAAGAGTTGTAGTGGTGAGAACTAGAGTCTTATCGTCACGCATCTGGTTTGGACTCAAGATATATCAGTTATTTTCATTTCATGATTGGATCGATAATCCACAACTGACAACTAAACTTCACTGGTTGTTGGGTTTTTATTGGCTGTCAAGCTGTAGATCCTGGCTACACATAGTTGCAGCGGTGGGAACGAGAGGTGGGAATACTCCCGTTTTATTAATCCACAACACGCGTGGTGCTGTGGATTCTTTAGCTTAATCTAAATGTGTTTGTATAGCATGAAGGATTATCACTTCCATAGATTATTTATCATAACTTTTTATTAATTTAAAAACTACAAAACATGTAATCACGCACGTTTATTTATTGCAGGCGGCTGCCGCGCCACCCGTGCTAAAGCCCGCGCGCTCGCATCTCGGCTGGTGTCTCCTTTGTGGGTGGAGGCGTGCGCGGCATCCAACAAGAGGCTGCCCGAGCAGGCCTTCCCAGCCGCCGCTAGGGCTTCGGACTTACCCTCGCCGAGGACGCTGAGACAGCTACTGGTAAGTTATAGCTACTATCCAGTCTATTTGTCCACTATCAAGCCTATTTGGCTTGGCAACTATACAGCCTATTTGTCCACTATCCAGCCTATTTGTCCACTATCCAGCCTATTGGTCCACTATCCATCCAGCTTATTTGGCAACTATCCAGCCTATTTGTCCTGCGCTGACAACTCGGCTGGTGTCTCCTTTATGGGTGGAGGCCTGCGCTGCCTCTAACAAAAGGCTGCCCGAGCAGGCCTTCCCAGCGGCCGCTAGGGCTTCCGACCTGCCCTTGCCGAGGACACTGAGACAGCTGCTGGTAAGTTGTAGCCGCTATCCAGTCTATTTGTCCACTATCCAGCCTATTTGTGCAGGTTCAGCCTATTTTGCCACTATCCAGCCCATTTGTCCACTATCCGGCCTTCCTCGCCGATAGGGCTTTGCTTGCGGATGCTAAGGCAGTAGTAGTAGGTAGTAAGGCAGAAGTAGAAAAATTAGTTTAGTCACTATACAGCCCATTTGTCCACTATCCATCCTATTTATCCACTATCCATCCTATTTATCCACTATCCATCCTATTTATCCACTATCCATCCTATTTATCCACTATCCATCCTATTTATCCACTATCCATCCTATTCATTCACTATCAATCCTATTTATCCACTATCCATCCTATTTATCCACTATCCAGCCTATTTATCCACTGTCCAGTATATTTGTCACGCGTCAAAGCGCTCAAACCACTATCTAGCATATTTTTCCCACGTCAAAGCGCTCAATCATTATCTTTCTAAATTCCAGAAAAAAGCCGAAATGGAGAATATATCCCTACTAGACTTGCTCTCCGACAAGGAAGACGACAAAGACAAGCCTCGCCTGAGGCTGTCAAGTGAGACTGAGCTCGACACATCTGAAGAAAAGACCACGGATACGTCTCACGACTCGTCGCGAGACCGATCCACAGATGCGTCGAGGGACAAGACTGGTGAGTGTTATCATATCTGACCCTTATCAGGAGACAAAGACAAGGAAGACGACAAAGACAAGCCTCGCCTGAGGCTGTTCAGCGAGACCGAACATCAGAAGAAAAGACGATACGTCCCATGACTTGTCGCGAGAGAAGACTGGTGTGTGTTTGCTTCGTTTGTTTTAGTGTCTTTTTTAGAGTTTAAAATCTTTAGATCTTTCAAGTGAAGGAGTGCATCTACTACATATAAATAACATTAGGTTTGATTGCGGTCAAATAGCTGCCTTTTGCTCAATAGTAAAAAAAAGTTAAAAAGGCAGAATAATTACTCACAAAATGGGGCTACCCGTCTGTTTTTATTCACAGCGTATGTTACATTATTTTAAAAATGACGATTTATAATAAATGTTTAAAGGCACTGGGTCTCTATCAGAAGGAACTCTAAGGGTGGAATCTCCATAGGCGTGGGTTAACGGGCAAGGAGATAATATCTTGGATGGTTGACAATCACTTTTCCTACAATTTAACGTTCCACCAAACTCTTTTTTTTTTTTTNTGGATTTTGGTGTAAGTCCTGACGCTTCCATATATGAAATACCCTCCTGAGACATCACCTGTTTAATTTTCCGTTGTCTAATATGTTCCGGGCAATTTTTGTCTGTGGCTAGGTGGGAGCCTGAGCAAAGGAGGCACGATGACCTTTCCTCTGCAATGTTGCAGTTATCTCCTACATGATTCTGTGCACAACGGTAGCACCGAGGTTGAGAACGGCATTGTGTTTTAATGTGGCCAAATCTGCAACAGTTGTGACATTGGATGGTGGGAAGTTGGTAGGATTCCACTACCATTGAAGTATGGAAAGAGTACACCCTTTTTGGTAGTTTTTGCCCTGAAAAAGTCAGAACCACGGTTTGAGATGGTGTCCATGTGGCTTTACCATTGACAATGGTTTTACGGTTGAGCCGTCTGGCTTTCAGGACAATCCCGAAACCCTCTGGGATTTCTAAAGAGTCTATGAACTCATCCAGAGACCAGTCGGTTGGTACTCCGCGCACTAAGCCCATGCGAGTCACGTGGTAGGTGGGAATCATTGCTGTGTACTTATTTTCAGTCAATAATTGGCAGGTGACAAATTTATTGGCTTCTTCCCCATTGGAAAACTCAATTATTATTCTGTTACGTCCAGCGGCTTTAATACCATCTCGGACGATACCCTTCACGCCATTACGATGGACCAGTTGGCCAAACTTAATGGGGCGAATGGTAGTGCCCGCTGCAGGGTCAGGTACGGTACGAGAAACTTGAACAATAAAGGGACCATGGTCATCACTGGTGTATGTACGGGATTCCAAGAAACTGGGGTGCGTGTAAATCGATTGTTGCGAAGCCGAGGGATCCACATCACCCGTTCCCCTTGTTCTTTTATCTACGCTCGTCGTAGAATTTGGTACTTCCGAAGGAAGTTTATGTTTCCTATTGGCTTGGCTTACAGACGAAAAAACGGGTGGCGACAACATGTCTTCATCCGGAGGGTCCGGAGGCTCCGGCGTGAGGACGCTCATTGTACAACGACCAAAATCGGTTTTAATTAAACTAATACGAGACAAACAAGATGTTAGTAAGTACTTACCTGGCTAGCCACCACCCACACACAATAAAAACTCAAAACGAAAGAGAAAATCCCACAAATAGTGACTGAAAGTATCGCAACGACGCGGATCCTTCAACCACCGACGGCAGAATCTCGTAAATTCCTCCACCAAACTCAACACGCTTTCAAAGATAACCTCGTAGCCGCTTGCTCACACTTGACATCACAAAACTGATTGACAGTTACCTTTTTCTGCGCATTAGTCGGGTGTTACGTTTAGGAATCACAAACCTTCCGCTCTACAGATTTATGCAGATAACATAATAATTATTAAGATTGGTACTATTAATCATCAATAATAATTGCAGCATCTGTGTCCGGCGCCGACATGTTTATTTATTGAAACTTTTTGATATCCAAAACCAAATCTATATAGAATTTCTTGTTTCTGAATACGTCAGCGATTTGATAAGTGACGCTGTCATGACCGTAAACAAAGTTCATTTTATCAACCAGTTTCGGGCTAAGCTGCTCGAATTTGCCCCACATCTGGTTATTTATACCGGGTGTATTCCCCACCAATGTCCCTAACCACAGGTATTTATTATTTATTCACATTCTACCCTCATTTCTAGACATCGAAACTCGCGTGAACACCGCGCCGCGACGAGCCCTGCCTGTTTCCATCAGTCCGGCGCCGCCTGCCAAGTCTAGAAGGAAACTCTTCACGCAGAAGGAGGCAGAGGAAACCAAGAATACGGCTTCGGATGATGAGTCTGGTAAGAAAGCTGTCTCTTTGAAAAACGTTGCATGCTTCCATAATATCTTGCCTGGTACGCTTGTGAAAGTAAAGAATCGCATCCATGGCGTCTCCACCGCATCCGCTCCGCTTTGAAACCAGTAGCTCACTAACTGTGCAGCTAGTAGCTCGTTGGGACAAAACATTTTACTATCCGTTCGCGATAAGTTTGCCGCTGGCGATATGACGTCACTCGAAGGGAAACGTCTATAACTATAGCAAATTATGTTAAAAATATTTTTTATTTATTAATATTGATAAAAATTGTGTATTTGCGTAAAATAAGACGCATTAATTGCGTTTAATCACCAACTAATTGCGTTCCACGGACCGGCAAACTTAGCGCGAACGGGTAGTTAAGAGATGTCCCATCGAGTAACGGTGTGACTGTTTGGTTGTGACTCGTTGGGAACAAACGATTTACGCCATTCATTTATCGTCTTAAATCATCAGTAGGTTAAAAACGGTGCTCAATATCAACAGAATGGTTGTGTTCGGCGAAAATAAGCGCTTATAAGCAAAATGGCGATCGGTACGACAATTTTCGGTGTGGACACATTTGCTAATTTTTTTTTTTAAATACTTTTGCACTAAAAAACTGTACAGTGGAATTTTAATAGTGACATGTTTCATTCATTTTTAGCAGTGCCGCTTAGCGATCGCCATTTTGCTTACAAGCGATCCCAAGCTCTTTTTTTCCGCCAAGCGCACCCAATGTCATACTGCCATATTTGTTTCTTAGAGTGCCCTAATCTATTGACTAAACAATACGCAATAAATCATTACTACATATTATGAAACAAAGTCGCTTTCCTGTCTGTCGGTCCCTATGTATGCTTCGATCTTTAAAACTATGCAACTGATTTGGACGTTTTTTTAATAGATAAGAGTGATTCAAGAGGACCGTCCTCTTTTAAGTGTAATACATTGTACCTGTGCGAAACAGGGGCGGGTCGCTAGTAAATCTATACTTCTATACTATCTTATAATACTAGTATTATAAATGCAAAAGTAACTCTGTCTGTCTCACTTTCACGCCTAAACCACTGAACCGATTTTGATGAAATTTGGTATAGCGATAATTTGAGTCCCGGGAAAGGACATGGGATAGTTTTTATCCCGGTTTTTGTAACAGGGACGCGCGCGATAAAGTTTTTCTGTGACAGACAAAATTCCAGGAGAGCTAGTAAATAAATAACTTACCTTCTACCCCAGACGCAGACACCACCAACCCCCCCAAAGCGGCCAAGCCAACTCAGCGCTCGCGCAAGTGCCTGGCGCGCGCCGAGAGACTCGCTCGCAAACTGGTCGCCGCCGCCACGCCGCGCGTTGCCAGCGCCAACGTTGACAAGCCTAGGATCGTAAGTACATCTTAGAGCTTAGTTTTTATAGAGAGCACTTTAGGAAGACCTTAATAGGTACTTCAGGAAGCCCATACGGTTAATTAGGGTCAGATTAAAGCCTGGTCCGTGAGCACGTAGAATCCCGTCCAATGACCCCAAGCTGCCCATCCTTGTCGCTCGCACGTAATTATGTTGCTGTCGCGCTCGCACACTCACTGCGGGCGCCCGTCGCACAGTCGCGACAGCAATATAATTACGCGTGAGCGATAAGGATGGGTAGCTTGGGGTCATTGGACGGGATTCTACGTGCTCACGGACCAGGCTTTACAAGTGCCTGGCGCGCGCCAGCTGGTCGCCGCCGCCACGCCGCGCGTTGCCAGCGCAAACGTTGACAAGCCTAGGATCGTAAGTACATTTTAGAGCTTAGTTTTTATAGCGAGTACTTTCGTCGTCGTTTCAGCCGAAAGACGTCCACTGCTGGACAAAGGCCTCCCCCAAAGATTTCCACAAAGACCGGTCCTGCGCCGCTTGCATCCAGGTACTTCCCGCGACCGTCACCAGATCGTCGGTCCACCTAGTGGGAGGCCTGCCCACGCTACGTCTTCCGGCTCGTGGTCGCCACTCAAGAACGTTCCTGCCCCAGCGGCCATCAGCTCTTCGAGCTATGTGCCCCGCCCACTGCCACTTGATTTTAGCGATTCTGCGGGCTATGACAGTCACTCTGGTTCTCCTACGGATCTCCTCATTTCTGATTCGATCACGCAGGGAAACTCCGAGCATAGCACGCTCCATCGCTCTTTGGGTTACCTTGAGCCTTCTTATGAGGCCCATAGTAAGCGACCACGTCTCAGAGCCATACACCATCACTGGCAACACACACTGGTCAAATACTTAAGGAAGTACTTTAGGAAGACCTTAATAGGTTCTTCAGGCAGCCCATACGGTTAATTAGGGTCAGACTACAAGTGCCTGGCGCGCGCCGAGAGACTCGCTCGCAAACTGGTCGCCGCCGCCACGCCGCGCGTTGCCAGCGCCAACGTTGACAAGCCTAGGATCGTAAGTACATTTTAGAATTTAATAGCTTTTATGGAGAGTACTTTGGGAAATTGGGAAGTCCATAGATCCACGGGAAAACTAAAGTAACCGACAGTCAACTAGACCAAAGGTGTTAACCTTAAGGCAGAGAATACCCAATGGCATTAAGTTCGCCTTATGAACCAAGTATATAGCATGAAAGAATAATTAAATAGCCCGCAGAATTACCAACTTAACTAGCATTTCAAAGATCGTAGAGCTGTTGGCCGATGGGGCAGAAAAGTTCTCAAGTGGCGAACATGAGCCGGCATACGTACTTTAGGGAGGCCTTTGTCCAGCTGTGGACGTCATTTGTCTGAAACGAATGAACACACCTAGTGTGTCACATGACATGGCTGCCTAAAAAACACTGCTTGCTAGCTATCTTTTAGCCTATGGCAGTCCATTGCTGCATTATTTAATAAAGGGATATTGAGCTAAAAAAAAGTGTAGGTACCCAATATGACAGCTGACAATAAATGTTAAGTCCCCTTAACTAAACTGTGTACAAACACAAATGTGTCATCAATGCAACAGTTTGTGCAAGCGATGTAACTTTAAAAAAAAAAAACATTTTTCCTGTATTCGTAGTTTAGGTTCTATTATGTTTTCCTTGTCTACTATATAAAAATAAGTCGGATTTTCCTCCCTGACGCTATAACTCCAGAACGCACGAACCGATTTCCACGGTTTTGCATTCGTTGGAAAGGTCTCGGGCTCCGTGAGGTTCATAGCAAAGAAAATTCAGGAAAAATTTCAACAGAAAAGCGGGAAGGGGGTAAAACGGGAACCACGCGTACGAAGTCGCGGGCGGCCGCTAGTTATGTATAAAAAGAAGAAAGAGAGGCATTATAATATTCTAATCATTATTTCATTTTCCAAACCTTTCAGGTGCTAACAGGCATGGGTCGCAGCGAGCGTCAAGAGTTATCAACCGCCATCCGTTCCATGGACGGTCGCATCCAAGCGCACGTCACGAGAAAAACCACGCACGTACTACTCGGCTCGTGCCGTGATGACGACGAAAATCACTGCTCCGGTATCGCTTCCAGTCACTTGAATCCTAAACGCGGTGTAACAGTGACAAAGTGCAGTGACAGAACTAACGTGAACTGTGATTATTTATCTGTGAATAACTGTGATATATCGGGAGTGACAAATATAAATGATTTGAGGCTATCAGGTGTGACAAATGAACCGTTGGTGGTACATCGGAGTGATATTCAAAAGGCTAGGACTTTGAATGCCTTGGCTGGGGCGGCTAGGGGTTGTAGAGTGTTGTATGCCAAGTGGGCTACAGACTCTAAAGAAGCGGGGAAATGGATCCATCACCACGGATATGAGGTGCCGCATTTGAGAAAGATTTCTCTGGTAATTATGTTTATTTTTTCGTTTATTGTATTGTTTTGATGGGTTTTGCAGCATGTCTGTTACTAATACTAATCTGTTGAAGGTGTTGTCTTGTTTTAACAAAAAAATGCACCATTTTAAGGGACCACATTCATCTGTGCCTAACGTTTCCTAAACTGTTTTTTTTATAACTTGAAATAATCTGAAACCTGCTTTATGGTGAGTGGTTCCAATATTATGCTGTGACATACTATTCATTGTTAAAATAGCTATGCATGATAATTGCAAGTCATTTACATTAGTAACACTAATAAAATGCTAAATTATTGCTATTTTTCTGTCTGTACAAGCAGCGTCAAATAGTTCGTGACACCCAAAGTGGCCAAAAAGTTGACAACACAACCGAGGGCTATCGTTTTTATACTTAACAGTTGGTACCCCTGGCGATTGACAGGACCTTACTCTACAGTGGTGCCATCTTAATGAGTGCAAATGCAATAGTCCTCCTATCACTTTAGCGCTCACCAGTTGGTGCCACTGTCTTCGCTACTAGCAAGTGACAGGACCTTACTCTACAGTGGCGCTAACTGGTGAGCGCTAAAACGATAGCCCTCGAGTATTTGACGTTGACTGTACTATTAAGGCTGAGTTGCACCAACTTACTTTAACCGTAACTATAACAATAACCGGTGTTTTTATATGGAGGTTGACAGATTTTTGACGTTTCTTAAAGTAAGATGGTGCAACCCAGCCTTAGTTGCTCAAATCAAATACGCATGCGATAACTTCAAGCTATTAACAACATTGGTAACGTGACGTGTTTTTTAAATTAGTTTGAGATGTAACTCTTAACGCTAAAAATTAAATAACTATTGGTGACGTGGTATTAAGTTAATGTTGATTACTGACGAAATATAATCTATTTCTTCCAGAAAGCGCGCATAGAACGCTCCGCCCTAGGCCGTATGCGTTCAGAATACGCTTACGACATTTTCAACGGCATGAAAGTCCTTATAACCCCCCAAACGGACCAAAAAGATGCGGCCATACAACTGCTCAAACTCTGCGGTGCTGTCGTCATAGATGGCAGCACCGGGCAACATGGCGCCTTTGACATGACGTTGGGTAGTTCAGAAGGGGAGGTCAGCTCAAAATGGGTGTTTGACAGCGTGGCGGCTGGGAGAATGAGAACCACGAGGCGATATGTGAATAATCCGCTGTCTTGTACGGTGATTACTCAAAGTGATAGGTGATCAAGATTTTGATCAGTGTTGATGATGATGAACTACACTGAACTGTCTTACCAAACACATTGACAGGAGGGCGTCACCATCGTATAGTGTCCAACGTGAAAAAAATTGGAACCAGGATCCGGTATTGACGATGTCACCCCCCTGTTAATGTCACGGGTGGGACAGGACAGTTCGTTGTTGTTCATCAATACTAATGGATGTACAGTGTATGACATATTGGAAGTGATTATGATAGATTTCATGATTGAGTAAAATATCAGGTGATAAAAAAACTAACTGTGAAATCAAATCATGGTTTTTTTGGAAAAAAGGGACGATTCTCATCAATATACAATGAGGGTTTTCGCGAATGAAAAATCCGCCAGATGGCAATACGTAGACGCGAGGTCCAAATGCTTCTTCTTCTTCTTTTATTATGGCAACGGCTTGGTTTTGAGAACCATGATTTCGCCAATGTCACGTAAACAGTTTTGACAAAGTAACAGGGTTTACAAAAAACAAAAATATTTAACGTTTCTAATAATAAGCAAAATTAATGCTGCATGATTGGTTATTTTTGACATGACATTGACATATATGTCAAAATCCACCAATCACGCAGCAGTCAGACTCCACATCCACGTCCCGCCATCTAGCGGATCTTTCATTCGCGAAAACCCTCATTGATAACACAACAAATCTTAGTACCTATTACATATATTACCTACTACTATGATAATATTGATAATTTAAAAGCTTTGTCATAAATATTTACTACAGCTAAGAATTTAATCTTTCGTACTAATTCATTTTTATTTTTATATAACCAAATTGTTAGTTTTAAAAATCATGTTGTTTAAATTGTGCCATGAAGTGCTAAAAGGTGCATGATTTATATTGTAAATTATAAGTAACTTATTTCTTTTACCAGTATGTATAAGAGTAATTTAATTTCTTAAATGTATTATTATAATAATGCTATAATAACTTTGCGAATAATGTCAAACAGAAATGTTATTTTACTAAAATTGTTTGGAAATAAACGAAAAATTTATATAAATGTTCATAGTTTTATTTAACGACATCTTGCACAGTGAGATTCACTTTTATATCGTAGTACTATCTTCGCAACAACGAATTGTCACGTTTGCTCGGTAGATGGCACCACTGTCTTTAACGACAGACACAAAATTATTTTACAAATAAAATTAAATAATTTTTGGTCAATAATTTTGACTAATTTGAGCTATTATTAAAATAAATTAAGAACGTTATGAAATAATTTAATTAATACAATCGATTACATTGTCCCAAAATGTGAAAATACCTTTTGGTTTCAAAGTTACGTATTTTGATGCCATATTTTTTCTCATGGTTTTCTCATCACACCCAGTTCTAACCATAAAGTTAACAAACCATTTAACTTTATAGTCCTTACTAAACTATGACCACTAAGGGAATTGAACCAACTGATTAATATGAGAACATTTAGGTTTTTCGCCACGCGGCATGCGCAGGAGTGTTCCAGGTGTGCACTTCCCGATTTTAACGTTTCGGATCGAAACGTCATTGGCGTCATATAGCTCCTCCTGAGATTCGGACCCAGGACCGAGACCCTCAATATTTACCTCTAAACAACAAAGACGTTACTTACCCACACCTACTTAATTCGATTAAGGGTGAATTCGACCAAAGAGTCAATATTAATCTCAGAATAAATCGTCAGTTTTTAACCGACTTCAAAAAAGGAGGAGGTTATATGTTCGGCTGTAGGTATGTATTTTTTTTTACATAAATTTCCCATACTGAAACTGTCAATGTGCCAGTTATACCAGGAGATATTCTCGGATAAACGTTTGGTCGAATCGGGCCTAAGTATTACTAAATAATAGAATACCTATCAATTAATAATTATTTATTTTCGCTGGTTTTTAAATTCATGTCATTAGTCCCACTAATGATGTTCCTCTCCCTTAGCTTTACGATGAATCTGTTAGCTATCATTAATCAAAATAATTTAAAACATACGAGTAGATAAAAGCCTATCTAAATAGCTTTTTAATAAATACCCGCCGTTCAAATTATTTATGTCACACCATTAGTATAAATAGTAAATAATTGATACTCGTTTTTCTAATTTGTCGGTTGAAAGGCATTTCCCTGTGTAACGTAACATTCCCATGTTATAATGGTCATTTATTTAATTGTACGGTATTCAGTCGCATTAACGTGTGGATAACGGCATATCAAGATAGACATTGTGGCACTTTTTGTGGATACAATAGATGCTATTTTAAAAACGAAATTGTATAATGATGTCATGTCTTTTCTGCAAATATGTACGCTTTTGAAAAGCGCTCTTACATGTCCCATATGAGTTGTCGACTATACATTTTACATTAATCTAATGCCCATATTCAAAGGTAAGCAAAGAAAGAGAGGTTTTACTTTTTACAGCACATACTACCCGTTCGCGCTAAGTTTGCCGGTCCGTGAATGCGCGTCCCCTCCTCCAACCGCGATTAAACGCAATTTGTTAGTGATTAAAAGCAATTAAGTGTTTTATTTTACGCAAATACACAATTTTTATCAATATTAATAAATAAAAAATATTTTCAATATAGTTTGCTAAAATTATAGACGCATTCCTTCGAGTGACGTCATATCACCAGCGGCAAACTTATCGCGAACGGATAGTAAGTACCTATATGTGTAGTCACAGACTTGTTTATTTATTTATTTTTAGGCTGAGTAGCTAGTAGAAAATAGACTAAAAAGTAACAAACATTCACTCATCTTAAGTGCACAACACTACGCTTTAATACTAATACTTCTATGACAACATTAACCATGATTGAACCTCGTTAAGTGACAACATAAAAAGCCAATAATATCATGTTTACATCTAAAAAAAAAGGGTGCAGAAGGTTCACATGAACTTACCAACAATCGCTTGTTAAATTTTTCAATGTTTATCTAACCGAGTCTCAATTTTCATTCAATTGATCTTTATTAAAAGCACAAAGCACACTAAAATATTTTTTTCGTCATACAGTCACAATAATTCTCACAGAAAACTTATTCAAACATTAGAAACAACTAAGCCCACTGTTTTCGGTTCTCGTCCAAAACTGAGCCTACCCTCAAAAATAAAAGTGATACGGCGCCATCTTGGCACACAGTTACTTATGGTACATTCTGGCAAATGCATCAGCATTTTATGTTATTAATTCGATTTATGAGATATCAATGTCATAAATCGAATCGATAAATAAATAAAAATGTATTTGGTTTAGCCTATTAATAAATTTAAGAAAATAAGTTAACTTCTTTCACGTAAACACGTTCTGTGTTCTTTTCAAAGCTTCTGACTTTGCTAGTAATTAAGCGGTACTATAAGAGCAACACTATCATAAAATTAGGTAACCAATAACGTAAGGTGTTACCAAAAGACGTCACTATTATGAAGAAAGCATCTTCATTTATGTCTGTCACATAAACTTACCTAGTTCCAATGAGATAAGAATTAAAATTAAATACCTCTCCATTTAATGTCCATTACAGTAATTTATTTCAATATTAAATTAACATGTTAATTTAACGATGCATGTGCGGTTACTTTACAAACAATATCTACTTATTGCGTGTTTATGCGTTGACTAACACCAAGTAAGAGGGGGGATCCCTAGCTACTATAAAATTCATAACAGACTCTTTGTCACCTATCCAGCTCCTAATTTGTACCTACCTAGATCAAGCTTGTAGGACTATATTTAGAAAAATATAAAATGTATCTAGATAGTTATACATTACATTTATTTCATACGTACAAATGCTCGTGCTAACATAGATTACAACAAATCACACTAGATCTCCAGATGGATTAAAACCTTAGACCAGGGGTTCCCAAACTTATATAAAAATTCAACTGCTCTGACTGTGACTGTGTAGTCAGCCAAGTTCTTGGCTGCCAGTAAAACCCAACCAACGAAGGTTAAGTAGAAAGTTAACCAAAAAGGACTCAAGTAGAAAAGGAAGGAAAAATAATGACACGAACATCGAACAGTTAAGTCGATTTTACTACAATCTTTATTTTAAAAACATTACGTACGTAACTTAAATTACGAAATAGAACCACATAATTATCACACACAGGAGTTTTAAGCTAAATATAGCACAATCAAGTATTCATCACGATTTCCAATGAATTTTAGCGACATGTGCTGAGTGAGTCGCGAGACAATGTTGTGTTGAATGTTCATTCATAGGCTCATAGGTGAGGTTTGTATTGTGACCACCACAGACTTAACTCTTCAAACAAATCAAAATAATCAAACTTTTCATTTTTTTTTTTACATTAAGACAAGCGAAAAAGGTGCAAAATATGGTGGCATTATTCCCACAGCCTTTCAAGCTTTTTAGAATAAAAATGTGTCACATAGTGTTGCGTAAAAGTAAACAAAAAGCGCACCTTAAATTACTACGTATCATAGAATTCATTAAACGAAAGGAATGTTTATAGTTTGTCGAATACAATATCTGTGGTCTATCCATCAATACTAATCCAGCATAGGCTAAGTAGGTAACACATAGTAGAATAGTTAGTAAAATAACAAGATTTTTGCATCTAATACGATAAACTTATGTCAAAATAATCTAACACTTGAAATAATCGACTGCCTCAGGAAATTGAACCCTTGACGAGGGTACTTTTGAAATTAATACATGAAAAGTCCACTAAGTCTGAACCAAAGATGAAGCACAAGATGAAGTCACTACGTTTCTTCACAAAAATAGTTTAAAACTTCCAGTCATTGGATGCGACCAGTGATTGGACAAAACATCCCTTGAACGTCCTTAAAATGAATATTACTTCAAATGCAAATTACAGCTTGACGCCCTTTTATCTACATCAGTTGGAATCTCTTAGTTGTTAAATATTTCTATTTCTAGTTTTAATTAAAAAAATAACAGTCCAATAACTCGACTACATGGCCCTCAAAGTGTACAATGATTGGGTATATTACTTTATGTCCCAACCAGCAA